AGAGAGAGAGAGAGATAAAGACACACACAGATAGGCAGACAGACAACAGACAAAGATAGCTAGAGAAAAGACATCGAATTACTATATTCGTTATAACTCTATAATTAGTAAATGGTAAAGAGACACGCTGGACATTGGCACGACGGGTGGCATTTAGATTTAATATAGAATAAAATTTACGTTATTGCGATAACATTTGGTATCGTTTTTTTTGTCGTCGCAAGAACTCGAACCCCGATTTATCATCCCATTAAAAGTTTATGGGCCTCTTACGATAGAGAATCGATTTTTAGTTAAAAATAACAATTTTTGAACATTTCTCAGCAGATCAAGAAATCTACCAATAAGTTTCAACGATAATTCATTTATAATATAGTGATATTATTTGAATCAACATTAATCCACCGATTCAAATTTTTTATTATTAATATCAATTTCTAGAACATTGTCCATTTAATCTTGATCTATTAATTGAAATAATAATATAAAATAAAAGCAATTACCACTATTCGTATTACTATCATAAATTTCATAACAACAATGATTAAATCTTCTATTTCATGTTCATTGCTGTATCTAAAGGAAATATTCACTAAAAATTCGATTCTATATCACCGTTGCTAATGGAAGAGGTATATATATAGCCCAAAAAAGCATCGACGCGGATACTCGTTTAGTTTCTTTAAGAGGTAACGTTCCTCCTCCCTTTTTTTGTTTTTTTATTATTTTTTATTTATTATTATTATTATTATTATTATTATTATTATTATTATTATTATTATTATTATTTTCCTTTCGTTTATATCTTATTAATTCTTTCTGCTTTTTTTTTGTTTTGATTAGATTGGTACAGTCTACGTTTGATACGCATCGCAGTCTCGATTAAAGGAAACTGTTCAGAGCAAAAAAGTGGAACACTCGTGAGACCATTGATCGTAATAATTTACTTCTTACACGCGCATTCTTAAGAAAGTGTTGGCAACGCCATTATCTAGAGAACCATCCAATGTATCATTCTTTCAAAGCTAATGGCGGCGGTGCATGCGCGTATTCTTTCAATTTTTTTTACGTTTATATTCTTGAATTATAAAAGGAGCTGAAAAATTTATACTATCTTTATGAAATTATTCACATAACGATGTTTTAATATAAATTATATTTGTGCGCACATTTTACATCTTACAATTTCATTTTTATTAAAATGATTTGTAATATGTATTCATATCTAATAATATATTTAAAAAACGAAATACAAATAAATTAATTATCATAACTATCAAATATAAGAACATATGTATTATATAATCATAAAGATTAAAAGAATGAATTGTGAATTAACATGTCACATAAAAATTTAATTACTATACAATAAGATAGATTTGTGCACAATATTAAAAATATTAAAACATCGAAGTATGTAACATAATAAAATTTAACAGAAATACTTTCAATATATGTATGATAATATAATGATGTTAATATAGGAAATATTAAAGATTAAAACGTACGTTTATGAGAACACAAGCTGAATGGATAGAATATTAATTGAATAATTGAACACGATAAAACGTGCCGGTCAAACATGGTGTGCACTCTGCACATATACGCTTTTTCGCGAATAAGATTAATATTAATGTAAAATATTAAAATACCAAATTATCAAAGTGACAACTAAAAGAGAAAAAATATCATAACGTCAATATTAATTTTAATTTTAAACTACGTAGTACGTAGATATAATACGCGTAATAACAATAGTGGCATTCCTGTTTAATATTAAATATACTCAGCTCTGGACTAAACTACTAAAAAAAGCATGACACACACCAAAAGCCTTGAAATTCATGATATATCCTCCCTTGCCTCCATTATACTCGAATCCCAAATGGAAAAAAACGAATCAGATCCTTATTGCTGCCGAAATGATACGGCACTGATTTAAGTAGCTTCATCGCGAGAACCGATCCATCTGACAATGCAGAATATAATTGACGTATCGTGAAGTAGAAGGTTCGATCGTCGCACGAGTGATACCGCCCTTCCGTGCGGCACTCTACATCGACTCACCTCCCAGAAGGTCTCCGGGTAAGTACGAGTTCAGAGAACTGGGCGTAGCACGTTGTTGATCATTGCTGTCGATACCAGCATTGCTCCACAGGGAATTACTACTCGGTGGAGCACCCCATAATTGGCTGGAACTACCTCCCCAAGTATCTGGTGGTGGACCAGTTTTATTTGATGGTCGCAACCCCCAGCCTGCCCCCGTAGTTGCTCCAGCTTGTTGTTGACCTCCATGACTAAGCTGTTGTAATAAGCTGTGTACTTCGGTATCCGCAGGAGATTCTGCGAAAATTGTTGTATTGCCCAGGACGCAATTGTTTAAAGCACCTTGTGCCTGAAATTATCATCGAACATTTTTTTTATTCATTCTATTTTTTAATCATTTTACTTTTTTAATGAAACAAAAAAATATTTGTATTACTTTTCATTTATATACACGAAACGATTATTAATTAATCGTTATCAAAATATAATTAATTCTTTTTAATCCAAAAAATCTTATTACTATTTTATTTTTTATTTTGCTTTATACGATATATTTGACAAGTAAAAAAAAAAAAGGTATTATGATATTTCATCAAATTATTAGAAATTATTATTCCCAATAACTTGACTAATTTAGTTTTTATTGATAAAATTTAAAATATATCTATCTATAAAAATTATATATATAATTATAAAATATATAATTATATAATTATAAAATTATATAAATTTATAAAAATTTTTTTTATAAAAATTAAAAAAAAATATTTACTTAAAAAACATTATTTTATAAAACAATATGCTAAATTGCTAAATATATTTGTTTTTGCAGTTCTATTTTGAAACAAAATTTATGGAAAACATATATAACGTAAAAATGATAGAAAAAATTCAAAATTTAAAACGTAAAATAAAATGTACATACAAATGTATATAAACGATTTATAAGATTGATTAATGATATATTATTGAAGTGAAAAACGTATAAAAACGTATGCAAACAAATTTTTCATTACAAGATCAGTGAAAGAGTGCATATTCATTTAAAAAAAAATAGAAGTAAGAATGAAAATAGTAAACTTGTATTATATGATATTGATTATGTGTTAAATTGATTCCATTCATATAAAAAAATCATATAAGAATATAAATTTGAATAAAGTTTTTGCTTTAATTTATTCAACGATAAAGTATATCAAATTACTTTTATAATAATGATTTTTTAAAGAAAAATAAACTGAGAAAACTACAATCTTTCTGAAATACGCAATATTAATATAAAGAATTCATTAAAATTAAAAGATTTAATTTAAAAATAAATGAATAAAAAAGGTATAATGAAAAAGTACTTAATTAATTATTAAATGGTTAATTCAAGTTTAACTATTTGCAATCCAAATTATATTTAATTATACTTTGTTTTAATTAATGATTAATGCAATTAATTATTTTCAATAATATTTTAAAGTTATTCAGATTTTTGCATATTCACATTTAAAAAATAAATTCTATTAAAACAATTCCATTAATTGTATTAGCAATAAAAAAATAAAAAATCTTATTTTACTTTAATAACACAATATTAATTATTGTTATTATATTGCTTAATAATAGAAAATATTAATTATATGAAATACTTAAATTTTTATAATAATTTTTAAAATATATAAAAGGAATAAACATAAAAAAATTTTTAAAAGTTATTTAAAAATAATTTAAATATTTTGTTAATATATAGTGATATAATAATATTGATCAATGTTAAACTTTATTCATCAATATTTCAAATATTATATTTCATTAATATTTCAAAATATTAAAATAAAAAATGATATAAAATTATTAAAGATGAATTAATGCAATAGAAAAAATATATAAAAGATACTAAACCTTAATAGCCTCATCTCTTGATGAATATTTGGTTAAAGCAATTCCATGATTAAGGTATAATCGGAAATCTTGAACAGGACCATGTTGCATGCAGAGGGTTTTCAAAGTAGAACCATCGATTTGAGGCGTCAGATTCTTAAGTAGTAACCAAGTAGAAACCCAGGCAGCATTTGTGCTCGATTGAAAGCCCCATGAACTGGATCTGCTGACGGTACCAAAACCTGCCCAGCCATTGCTCGCATTTCCTGTGGCTTTACTGCTTAAGCCTGGTGGGGGACCACGAACCTTACTCATTGGTGCTCCCCAAAGCTCTGAAGTAACTGCAGTCGGCGGTGGTGCAGATTCACCCCAAGTATTTTTCGAGCTAAAAATTATATATTAAATAAATAAATAATTAAATATAAACATATTAAAATAATTTATATAAATATTATACTATACTTGTTATTTATAATTAAGATGAAATAAAAATTATTTACATTAATATTGAGAATAAAGTAAATTTAGAATATAGAATTAAAATTATTATTATATAGAATTAACTCTTAATTTTTAATTAATTCTATGAGCAATGAAAATATTTCAATGTTAAATTTTTTTTATAACAAAATGCTTATATAAAAACATGAACATAGAATATAAATTAAAAATTAAAAATTATTAAAATAAAATTAATGTAATATTTATCATCAGATATTCATGAGTTGTGAATAATAATATTAAAAAAATACTATACTATAAATTATTCATAATAATTATTATTCAATAATTATTCAATGATTCATAATAATAACAAATATACGTCACGCACATTACAAATAAACAGAAAAAGAGTAAAAATAAGTAGACAAATTATTAATGTAATTTTAATATTTTTCATATTTTTTTCTCCTATTCATTAAATCTTATATTTTTTAACATTAATGAGATAAAAACATGAAGTAGGAAATTTTGATTTCTGTTTTTTTATGACTAAGTATTAATTCGACGAAGAAGTAAAATTTAATTCTTATCTTGATGAACAATATTTATCGTATTATTAATATAAAATTGAAAATAAAATTATTTTATTCACTAAATTTCAGCTTGTAGTTACAATTACCATATGAATTGTAGTTGAAAAATTAGCAATAATAAAAAAAAAATTACCTAGTAAATGCGTTTGGAGTAGTAGCAGGTGGATTAAACGTCCATGTAGAATTACTCAAACTTGGTATTGATGTATCAGGATTTGTAGGTTGTTGTGGCGGTGGTGAAGTCTTATTACTTGAAGAGAAAATGGCATCTGGATCTTTGATCGTTGCTAAAGAAAGCGGTGAACGAACGATAGAACCCGGAGTAATGCTTGGATCATCCTCGATACTCTTCATCTGGGTACCCTAAAATAAAATTAAATATAGGTGGACCCGAATAAATACTCATTATTTTTAAGAATGTTTTTATTCGACTGTAATTTATGCAAAATATAAATTATTATTATAATTAAATAATGCATTTATTAAATATTATATGTATAAATATATAATCTGCAATATTCAAAAATTAAATTAAAATTCAATTATAATTAATTCAATATAATTAATTTTTCATTTCATTTTTTTAATTCAATTTATTGTTTTTTTTTAATAATATTATATGATTTAATATATATAATAAAAATTAATATATTATAATAAATATATTATATATATTAAATTAATATAAATTTAATATATATAATATAATATAATATAATGTAATATAATATAATATAATATAATATAATGTAATATAATATAATATAATATAATATAATATAATATAATATAATATAATATAATAATAAAAATAAATTTCAATATAATTTATGAATTTTCCAAGTGATAATTGATTCAACTCATTGTACGTATTAAAATAATTCGAAAATTTATATTTTGAAAACAGTAATTTATATTGCATATAATTATTATATATTATAAACTACAAATATCTTTTATTTCATTATCAATATATATTTTTGTAATAAATATGCTAATAAAATATTATACTTTTTAAGTTTTAATATAATTATTTCAAATATTTTAAATTAATAATATCATAAAATATTTGTGCTAAAAAATTATTCTTCACGTATGAAGTACGATATTGGAAATGGATTACCTTCCATGGCTTGCCAGGCTCAAATTCTGGAACAAGATCGGTAAAAGCAGCAGCACCAGTAGCTGCACCAGTTGACTGCCAATCCTTTCCATCAGTAGAATCCGTATTACCTGGATCTGGCCATCCACTCTCTCCAAGTCTGGTGGACCATGTACCATCTCCTTGACCCAACAAAGGATTCATGTTAGGACTACTGTGTGATCGTGTTAAACCAGCCGGTGTAGCTGCTGGCTTACTGGTTGTTCCTGGTGCTCTCGAGAACTCGTTCGAAACTAACTCTCCATCCTTGTCCAAAGAAGGTAACTTCCACTGGTTCAATCTTGATTGTTGCTGACTCTGTAAATATAATAATAAAAATATTAATTTTGATTTTTGATCACATTAGATTTTTTTAATTATTTTTAAAATAAACTTGAAAAATGTTATTATTCTTATATTTTAAACAATTACAGTATATTATTAAGAAATACTATCCACTATTTAAAAAAATAATTTCATAAAAAATTTAATTGAAATAGTTTTTCTCTGCAATATTGTTGTTGTTGTTGTTAACAGTAATAATAAAATTGACAAGTAATATAATAAAAAAAAATGAAATAAAGATATTTTAACTATGTAATTTTATGATTAAGTTCTTTTAATTAAATTTGTATAACTCAAAAAATTATAGGCAAGAAAAGATAAAATAATCTGTCACAATGAAAAAAACGCATGTTACAAAAAAATAATAAAAAATATACTTACAACAGGAGGTTCCTTATTCATCGTCAAATCCGTAAAACTATTTTGCAATGCCGACATAGGATCATGTACCGAACTCTTATAATATTCTGAGCTTTGAGATGGGGGCACAGGATGTTGTTGTTGTTGTTGCTGTTGCTGTTGTTGCTGTTGTTGTTGCTTCATGTAAGTAGCTTGTTGCACAGCAATTTGATTTTGAAGATTTGCTATTTGTTGTTTTGTTTTTGTAATTTGTACACTGATCTGAAGAACAGATTGCCCATTACCCTTCATTGTACTTTGTACAGAATGTTGTTGATGAAGCTGTTGAAGAACTTTGATTTGTTGTAATAGTTGATTCAAAAGTATTAGAGTTTGAGGTGCAAGTGGTTGGTTTAAAATTTGATGGTTTAAGTAACCTTCCTGGACGGCTAACTGAATCTGTTGTACTAACATACGTAATTGTTGTGTACTTGGTTGATTTTGTGGAGCTCTGGAAGCCTGCAATCAAAGAAAATATTTTGTACATATTAAGAACATTAAATTCTTTCTTTAAAAACTACTTTTATATAGTATTTTTTAAAATATATTATACAATTATTATATAAATTAATCAATAAATTCAATATTTTTCTCTATTAACTTTCTTTTTTGAAAGAAATATATAATTAGATGATTACATATATTTTTGTTAATATGTAATATTCAAGTGCATCATGAATTATTCATTATTAGGTGATTATTAGGTGAATATTGTTATTAATATGTAATATCATTTAAGTATATTATAAATTATACATTATGCTATGTTAAACATGGAATAAATAAATGCTTTTTAATGTGAAATATATGCTGTATAAGATTTCTGAAGTTTAGAAGATTATATTCATTATACCTTTATAGTCCATATATATTATCATGCGATTTTCTTAAATGAATAAAGATATAAATGAAAATCATTTTAACACTATGATTAGAATGTTAAAAAATCGAATGCAAGATACAATATATAAATTAATTTCTATATGAAAAATGCTTGCAGATAATTTTGATAAATATGATACTTGAAGTTTCTATTAATAATATAAAATATAAAATATTTCTTTATGTTATATAAAAAATATATTATATTTATTATATATTATTGTATATATCATTCAATATTTTTTTATTTGTTTATATTTTTTTTTTAGAGAAGGAATAACTTATTTATTGATTTATGTATGTATTAAAATTATATAATTTATATATATATTAAAACAAAATAAATTATACAATTTATATATTTTCAAACAATTTTCAAAACATTGTTTTAGAGAATATGAAAAAATATATGAACTAATTTTTAATATTTTAAAATGAATACTATATTTATTAAATACTACATATTCCAAATTAAAAAAAAATTTATTTAATTAATAATTTTATTATTATTAATAATTACCTGATTAAAAGGTGGTTGAGGTGCATTACTACTAGGTTGTTGTTGTTGTAATGGAACAGCAGTTTGTTGTTGCTGTTGTTGTAATTTCAATAAACTTGCACTAGCAACTGATCCTCCTACACTACCAGTTGTGTTTCCACTTGGCACTCCAGCACCCTATAATTAATAATTAAATTAAAAATCATTCTTTATATATATGACAATGATTTTTTACATATTTTAACTATATTATATATTTATATATATTAATCTAAATTAATATTTTATATATTAATATTTTATATAATATTTTATATCTATATTAATATTTTATAATCAAAATTAATATTTTATACAACTAAAAAAATGAAATATTTTCTAATAAGATGAAACTATTTCAAAAAAATAAAATATTAATAATATAATTTGTTAATTCAAAATTAGATATCTGGATATTTTATAAATATTCCAATTTTAAAAATGAAACAAACATTATTATATACATTTTTTATTCATAAAAGTTTTATCTTTTATATGAACCTAAGAAATTTTTTACTCGCGATTATTTGCCTTTGAATTTATTGCATATCAAAACAAAATAAAATGAATGGAAATATCAATTGAAAATCATTGAATATACTTATAATTATTGACAATTAAATTTTTAACAAATATTCAATGTTTCAAAATTATCAATGAGGATTACAGAAATCAAGCATGTAATAAAATCATATATATGATACTTAAATTGAATTGTTGATATAAGCTTCTTGATTATTATAATAAATAATATTAATATTAAAATAATCTTAATATATTAGTTCAGATCCAATTCAATGAATTTTACATTTACATTTATTTATAGATTTAATCACATCTATATCACTTATCAATAATAAAGTTTTTATTGTTTGAAATTAAAGAATTAAATAAATATTATTAGTAAAATGAAATATGAAATATATTTAAGTATCTAACATATAATGCATAATATAATAACAATTGTAAAAATTAAAAATGTTTCACAATTTGAACATAAATAAAACAAATTATTTAATATTATCATATCATTATATTATGTGTGCATATGCATGTTATATATAAATATAAAAAATTAAAAAATAATTTAAGAACAAAATCGATAATAATCTTTACCGGAGGAAAAGACATTTGCTGTGCGACGTGATTAAATCTAGGATATGCTGGCGCAGTTGTAGCTTGATTTGTTGGATCATAAGTAGAGTGTGCGTCATGTCTTCTCCATTGGTCTAAAGGCCGCACTTGACTTAAAAGTTCCAAAGCTTCTTCTCTATTCATTTCTCGATTTCTTAATGCTAATTCAACATCCTCTTTCTATAAATAAAAACACAATCACTAAATATAAAAAAATACTACTTTTTATTGTATATTTATTGTCAAAATTGTTTATTGTTTTTTTATATTAAATTTTTGTATATTATTAAACCATATATCAATTAAAAAAAATGACATTAAGCATATTATATTCATAATTATGATAAATTTATGTTATTTAATTCAATCTCGTGAATTATTAGATTCTATTTGATAACTTTAAATAATTTTTACATACTTTAAATCCCAAGTCGCAAAGATATCGAAATTCTCTGCTATTCCATATAACTTCTTTTGTAAGAGTGGGTTTTGCAGGATGACCCCAACTAGGAGTAGGATCCATATCACTATCACCCCAGCTTCCAGTGGGTCCCATTGGTTTAGGTTTGTGCGCACTAGGTCCACCCCAAGTGCCAGGATTTAATTGAGCTTCATTCCAGGTACTTGGTGTTTTTGGATCATCCCATGAACCTGCATCATGTGGTCCTTCAGCCCAACTACCATTTCGTCCGCCAGGAGCACCAGGATGTCCCCACATTGGTCCACTAACATCTGGTTTCATTCCAGGTTGACCTGGCATTCTGTTTTGTGGCATACCCGGAGGACATTGCATTCCTATAATATTAAAAACGAATAATTTTAATTAATATTAAATTTTCATTTAGATTATATAAATTTCAATTAATAAAATATTTATAATTATTAATAATTGTAATAAGATTATAAAAAAATAAAATATTAACATATTATATTTTTTATAAAATATTTTTATTTTAATAAAATGTAAATACAAATAAAAACAATTTGAAAATAAATTTAAAAGAGAATATTTAAAAAGAAAGAAATAAATAAAAAGAAATTAAACAAACCTCCTCGTCCTAAATTTGGTGTTGGAATATCTTTCCAATGAGAAACTTTACTGCCAGGTATAGTCCTTTGATTGGCTGCAGGGTTTCCCCATAAACTTGTGCCATCGTCATAATTTGGAACATTTCTTCTTTGTGTTGGTGGAGAAGGTTCTTCCCAACCTGTTGGTTTACCTGGCATAATATCCTTTGGCGGTGGCGCAGCCCATTGATTTATATTGGAAGGATTCAACATCTTCGTTGGAGGTCCAGAAGGATGTTGATGTCCCATTTGATGATGTGGAGGACCTGGTGGTTGACCCCACATAGCATCCGCATTAGCACCATTTAACCTCCCAGAAATTCCACGAGGATCCCCACGTATATCCGTCATTCTAGGATCTCGAGCCATTGGGTCCATTACACGTATGTGTTCTCGAGGATCCAAAGACATTCTATGGTCACGGGGATCTCGCATCTCCCTAGGATCAACAGAACGAAGTTCGCGAGGATCTCGATGATCAATTCTTGGATCACCCCAATTAGATCCTGTAAAAAAACATTCATATTTTATTCACATTTTATTTTAATAATGTAAAAAGTTTTAATTTAAAAAAATATTAAATATATTATCAGACTTATTTTTATTATTTATACTGATAAAATTAAACGCAAAACCACTAAACATTTATTAATCTTTATTATATTATAGAATTTATTAAAATTAATGCATATAATCTATAAAATTTTATTTTCGAATAAAATATTGATATATTTCAAAAAAAATTCACATTTCTTTTTTAACTTAACAAAATTTAAAAATACTTTTTATTAAAAATACCATTTTATAATATATAATTTATCTAAGTAATAATAAGTTATCTAAATAATCTAGAATTTGTTTTTTAATTATTTATTTTATTTTGTAAGTGTTGATCGTCAAAGCAAGAAGTAACGAAAAAATAAAATTTTATCATTACCTCCCCACATGCCACTTTGATTACTGGTACCAGTTGTCCATTGTCCAGCTGCAGAATTTGGTTGAGAAGATGTTGGAGCACCAGTCCACATATTTGATGAATCAGCTGCTTCGTCATCTTCACCCCAAGTTCCACCAATGTTTGTTGCTGGTGTATGACCCCATGGTGTTTTAGCTTGTTGTTGAGGTGGAGGTTGACCACCATTTCTAAGATTAGCTTCCCATAGATCTGTACCATTATTTACTGGTGTTTTCCACATTGGAACTGCATCTTTTGACATACTAGGTTCTGGAGAAGTTGGGACATCCCAGTTTGTATCTTGATTCACATTCTGCTACAACAGAGAAAGTAAAATTCAATGTTAGTATAATATAATACACAAAAATAAAATAATAATATAAAAAAGATTCAAAATTTATATTTATATTATATATTATAATATAATATAACTATATAATATATTATATAGTTATTTATATATATATATATATATATATATAAAAATTACAATAATAAAAAAAAATATTTTTTATAAGCATAATTAAGTGATATATACATTTCAAAATATAAGTTCAAAAAAAAAAATATAAATTCATGTATATATATTCAGTAATTAGTTATGTGATAAAGAAGATACTCACACAACCCCAACCATCTTGACTAAAAAGAGCTTCTCTCACTGTATTTAACTGTTCTAATTGTTGTTTTGTTGAAGGATTATTATTTGCAGGTGTATTACTACTATTAACAGATCCCTGAGCCTGATTATTTGACTGATTATTATTATTACTGGAATTTGACTGTTGCTGTTGTTGTTGTTGTTGTTGGGCTGAAGTATTATTATTTTGAACAGAAGAATTTTGACTTGGTCCTCCAGGATTATTAGACTTTCCTTGCGACCATTGATTACTATTTTGACCACCTTGATTTGTTCCACTTGATTGAGAAGTTGGAGGACCTGATTGTTGATTTGACTGCTGATTTGGATTGCTTACTTTATTCACATTACCTGAAAAATAATTATTTGTTATAAAATTATTTTTGTCTGTTCAATATAATACAAAAAAAGAAAAAAAAAACATTTTCCATATTTTTTTGATATATGAATTTATAATTTTAAATTGGAATTTTTGAAATTAAATTTGGAATTTTCAATTAAATTTAAATGATTACATATATATATAATAATAATTATATAAAAACTATGTAAAAAAAGTTGATTTTTTAAATATTTTTTTATTTATATAAACAAAATAAAAATAAATATATTAATTATTAATTATATAAAGATAATTTATAATTTAATTGGTAATTTAAATCAAAAATAAATCAAAGTTTGTAATATGTGTTATATGTATATTAGATAATTAATAAAGTATACTAATTTTAGAAATTTTTAACTAAAAAATTATACAAAAGAAAAATGAACATTTACCTGGAACATTTTGCCCACCTGGAGGTCCTTGATTTTGATTTGAATTTGGATTCCCAGCAACAGATCTGTTTACACTGCTTCCAGTCCAATTACCAGGTGCTCCACTATTTCCAGAAGGATTTCCAGAATTTCCTCCCCAACCTGATTGATTATTGTTGTTATTATTTGTAGTACTAGTTTGTGTAGAACCCCAATTTGTAGATCCTCCAGTATTTAATGAACTTTCACCTCCGCCAATCAATTTAAGATTACCAGGGATTCCCCATCTTTTTTTATATGCCAAATTGAAATCATCGAGATCGCAAAGTGGTCCAAAAAGAAGAGTTAATATATGCTTAAGATCAGTTTTGAGAACTTGTAAGATGTCTTTGGAAACTCCAATGGACGCTGCTATGAGATTTCTTGCACAATCAATCAAATGATTTCGAGTCATATCATTTGCGTAATTGATATTCTTTTCCTCCGGAAAAAGATTAGAAATTGAATAGTTTCTATTGAAAATTTTTTCCGATGGAGCAGAAACAAAGTTTCGATCGGAGTTTTGTTCATTTTTCAAACAAATAGCAACTTTAGATTTTTTAGACTGATTGCTATTAGATAAATTTACTACAATGGCATCCGTTGTCTTCATTGCATTAGGACTCTCACTGTCAATGAACTGGGCAGTTTGAAAGGTCGAACTGGTTAGAATGAATTGCTTAGGATTTATCAGACTTTCTGTGAAAACATCCTCAGCATTAAATCCAATAGCTTTGTATAATGTCTCTTTAAATTGATAGAAATCACAGAGATTTTCTGAAGAAATTCTTTCATTGATTACACCAGTAAAAGCTTGATACTTTAGCTTCGTTTGTTTAAATAAACTAGTTGCAATCGCACCACCGTCCATTTCAACGCGGAGGAAATAATGGTTACTGGTTGAGCTGAGCAATATCACAGACTTGTAGTTATCGTTATTATTACTTAAGAGGCTAGAATTAGACTTAATATTATTGTATTTGCCCGAATGAAGGCAGGATCCTAGTAAGGAGTAATTGTCAAGAGAGTCGAGAGAAAAGTGGCATGACGAGGGGCGATCAGACTTGGGTATCCTAACTAGGCTAGGTACCCCTTCGTCGATAGCACACTTATCTCCTGTTAATCGTAGATTTACGCTTATACTTAGTACCCTAATGTTTAGTACGCTAAAGCTAGTCTTATTATCACTTAATGTCTTAGACATAGACTTAGAGTTATTGGCGGAGCTGCCCGGTTTATGATTACCGGACGAGCCCGGTTGTTTTCTTTTCCTTGTTTGTGTATTAACTGTTATTATTTTTCGATCATCTTGATGATTATGTTTCGCTCGATATGAGCGATGATTTATTTTAGGATTATTATTACTATTATTATTATTATTATTATTATTATTATTATTATTATTATTAATATTATCATTAATATTATTAGTATTATTATTATCGTAAGTTAGAAGATGATTTTTTGTTGGGTGTTTTGTGGTTGACGACGCCACTGACTGGCAGGTCGAGCTTCGACTGGTTAAGATAAACTTGCCTAAAACATAATAAAAGATATCATAAAAATTGCATTCTAATTATATTATTTAATAGTAAAATCTTTAATATAAACAAAATATTTTTTCTTTTTACTTTCTTTTCAGCTGAATGAAGTTACATATATTTTCAAAACAAAGTTAAAAATCATTTTCATAAAGTAAAAATAATGGCTTTAAATGATATATATATAAAACAATGCATAAATATTCCAAAAGCAGAGATGCATTTCAAATATTTCAAAATTACATTTAATTTTTTTTTTTTTTTGGAAAACTAACTAAGACTAATTATTTAAATCAAAAATTGAATAATTCAGAATAAAAAATTAATAAAATTAATAAAAGTTAATAAAATTTGATTTATGAAAGACAAGTTTATATTTCCTTGTATTTTATATGATTTTATCATTTTTATCTCCCTTTTTTCCTCCAAAATATCTTTTATATGATATATCTATTATATAATAGTTCTCATTCTATTAGAAACAGCATATTATTTTTAATGTTACTTTACATATATGAAAATGTAATTTTTAAAAATAAAAAAAATTATTAATAACTATTCAGTTAATTTTTAGTCTTAAAATTCATCACATGTGAAATTATATATATAATATTTATATTATATATTAAATGTTATTTTTAATATTTAAAATATATATACACAAGAACATTTTAGTTACCAGTTTGATTCGACAGGACGGTTAAAAAGTCATTGGCGGCGGTATTTTTGAGATGGCTATTAGGTTTGGCCATCATGTTTTTTATGAACTCGATATCACAGTACCTATCATTCTCTGATTCTCTTCCCTCCCCAACCCTTATCGGACTGCTTTCCCCTAATACTACTACATCCCCCTGAAACAAAAAATATCATTATTAGAATAAATATTATTATTAGAATGCCATTTTTTCTTGAAAAATTTAATTTTATGTAATATAATTTTTTAATTTTTTTAGAACTAAAAAAATTATGAATAAAAATAAAATTTTATATTAAAATGTAAATAAATGTAATAAATGTATATATGTTATTTAGTAATTAAATAAAATTAACAATTCTATGTATTCTAAACAAAAATTTCAAAATTATTTCGTTATTTCTATATTATTACTTTTCTTTCTTTTTACTTAGTCATATATTTTTTTTCTAAAACAATATCATTTATCTTTATATAAATGTATATAATTAATTGAAAGATAAACAAAGAAAGCTTCTGAGAACCATAGAAATATATTAAAAGAAATTGAAAATGAACTTTGAAAATTATTTTATTAAATGTATAAATTATTATTCATCTAATTACATATACATATTTATTTTTATAACAATATTATTAATTATTTTACAAAAATATTCAAGAATATTGTTGGAAATATTGTTAGATTGAAAATGAAACAAATTTTCTTTATATTTTTTTTCAGTAAATATTTTTAGAAATATCTTCATTATAATTTTTTAATTATACATAATTTATACTATATATTATAATATATATATATAATTTTTCGAAAGTAATACAGTTATAATATAATTTAGAAAGTAATACATTCATTTTCAATTATATAAAATATAATGAATATAATAATATATTATCAGATGACTTTGAAATAAACTTAATTAATGAAATTTTATAAATAATGAAAATGAATATAAAAATAAAATTATATATAACATATGTATATATAATCTTGCTATTCCTTGCAATATCGGAAAGCAGAATAATAATATAAGAAAGTATAATAATATAGAAAAAATATCAGAAACAAAATAATAATATATCTAATAAACTATCAATAATCTTTATTGAATTAAATTGAAATGTGTTGCAAAATGTTCGTTGTATGTTGTTTGTTGAGGTTATGTATAATTCATTCTTTGATATAAATATAAATACAATAAATGAATTATTATAAATCTTTGAATGTTTACGAAATCATGAAAGTTCAATTATACAAAATTTATGAATTATTCTATATTATTATTATATATATTCTATATATATAATAATAATATATAATATATAATAATATATATATAATATAATAATAATAATAATAATATATAATATATAATAACAATATATATATATAATATAATAATAATAATAATATATAATAATAAATATATCAACATTGTAAAATACAATTATATGTATATCTGTTTTAATCTATTGATGATGAGAGAAATTTAAATTGTAAGCATATAATGTATGCAATGTTTTATAAAATAAATGAAATATTGCAAATAATGCAATAATATTTCAGAAAAAATATTATATCTTAACAAGTAAACAAATTATTTAGAAAAATAGTTTTAAATATAAATACGACATGTATAATGTGTGAAGAAATGAAACTACATTCTATTTATTAATATTATTCACTGTTAAATGAGTAAAATGACCATGATTTTTATTTTTATAAAATTAGAATACTTTTTTCTATTAACATTTGTTTTTGGAAATAAATCGATTTTTAATTTGAAAAAAGAGAAATCATTTCATATTTCACTTTCTTTTATATATTATACAGTTTTTAACATATAGATTTATACATAAATAGTCTTTAGATAGTGCTAATCAAATACATAAAAATAAAGGTGATTTTATTAAATTAAATATGAACACAATATTCTTATTAAAATACAAATAATCTAATCTTAAAAAATCTTAATTCAAAAATTCATAAAATGAAAAGAATATCAAAAGATTTTATAGATTTATGAGATATATATCTGTATGTATAATGTACTTCATTAATAAATCCTTCTGTAAATTAAAGAAAAATTTTATTTAGTTTTTTTTCCAAAATTAAAAAAAATAAAAAATGATTTGATATTTATTAATTTATATTTGTATATAAATTGTTATAAATATAAATCATTTTATTAAACAATTTTCATTAATTTCATATACATTTATTTTAACTAATATTATATATATTTTTATATTTATAAATTTCTTTAAATTATAGGAAATAATAGAATAAAACTATATTTAAATATTTATAAATATTATAAATAATTTCTTTTTGAATTTTCCATTTTTTATTTGTATTTATAAAATAATTTTAGAAAGACTAAAAATTTTAAAGAATTGCTTCAATAATTAATTAAAAACAGATATTTGAATAATTATGTTAATAAACAAATTTATTTTAAAGTAATCTTTTTTAAATTAAATTTGAAATATTTTGAAAGTTTGAATAATGAGAAAATATGTTTTAAAGTTTTTATAAATGAAATTATATATTTTATACTTTTATATAAAAGACACATGTAATATAATTACTTTATAATTTTAAAAATATCTAAATTATATTAGATTGTGCAAAAAATAATTTAAAAAAAAAATTCTTTTTATTATAACATTTGAATTTTTAAATATTTTTTATATATTCATATAAGATATTTGAAAATCTTATTGTTCTTCAAAAAATTTTAGAATAGCATAATCTTTGTACATTATACTAACAATAAATACGTGTCATTTATCTATTTGATTTTTCAATTTTTATTTAGAAGAAAAATATTAATAAAAATAAATTATGTGTGATTAAAAAAGAAGATTAAAATATTGAAAAAAAAGAAGATTAGAATATAGAATATATGAAAGATTAAAATATTTCAAAACTGAATTAAACAAACATATAATCTGTAACTATATACTTACTATAATATACTGTAACTATAATACTTGCCATGGAATTTTGTACGAAGGCATTTGTTTCTGTAGAAATCTCATGTGAACTAGAATTGTGTGGAAACATTGGGCTCAGTTCTTCTTTGGCAGGCAATGCATAGAAACCAAGATCTAAGACACATTATTTATGAATTTATTATTGCTCATTATAAATTATAATATTAACATTTATATTAATAAAATTAATATAATTTAACATTTTTTTTAAACATTTATTATACTAAATAATAATTTATTTTTCATTTTACATTAATTTATTAATTTAATTAATTGCTATTTTAATTAAAAAACCATACTATTTTTAAAAAATGTAAAATTTTTTCTTATTATTCCCAGTTAAAAGCACAATAAATTCTAGACTAAATTTTAAACAATATATTCATAATATTTCATAATATTTTATTATATTCATAATATTCTGAATATATTATTTTTATTTTATAATTAAAACTTATTTATTAAATGATGGATTAAATATAATATTACAAAATAAAATTACTCACCTTGTAGACTATCACTATCAATGTGCTCCTAGCTCCATGCCAGTGGAGATCTATAATAATGAAAAATTATTTTAGTTATTAAATTAATATATTTATTATTTGTTTCACATAATTTAGTAAAATTATATTTTTAAAATTAATATAAAAAAAAATAATTAGAAAAAAAAATCACAAAACAATTACATAAAATTATGTTCCATATTTCTTTACTATTATTTTTCTGTTATATATTCTTTTTATTAATAAATTTACAAAGTTTAACTTAATTTTTTTTTTCAATAAAACTACATAATTTTTCTTGTAAAACAATTCTTTAGATTATTTTATAAAATAAAAGATATATAAAAATGTTATGATATAATCGTATATAGTTTACAAAATACTTCAATTTTAAATATATAATATGTTTAAATTCAAATTTCTGATTATAATTAATATCAATAACACATAATTATAATGATATAAAAAAAATAATTCTATAATGGTCATCTAAAATTATTAAGATAATTAAAAAATAAGATTACTTTTTATGAAAACACAACAAAAGTAGGAAAATTTAACTTAAATTTAAATTAAAACTAGAACTAAAAATAATTTTAAAAAATATTAGATTTTTTCTTTATCTATTTATGATTACATTATAAAAATTATATAATCATAGTATTTTGCAAATAATTTATTTTGTAATTTTAAATATTTAAATATACATATATACATATGAAAAATATAAATTAATTCAATAAATAATATACATCTCTATAAAGATAATTAATAATTCTTATACATATAACTATTAATATATCAACTATTATTTTTTTCAATAATTTTTTCTTTCTTATAATAAAAATTTTTAATTTCTCAAGCAAAACTATTAATGTAATATAAAAATAAGATAATTTATATTAGTTTATTATTTGAAATTATTTTAACATATTCATTTATATGTACGGATATTAGATTTGATATTAGATATACTTATAACATATTTTATATCTTATATCTTATTATTTGCAATTTGTTTATATAATTTGTATAATTTTTTATATTATATGTATTTAAACACATGGACGCACACGCCACACACACACACATATATACATACATACGTACATACATGCATACATGCATACATGCACATATATATATATATATATATATATATATATATATATATATATATATACATAATTTTTCTTGTAAAACAATTCTTTAGATTATTTTATAAAATAAAAGATATATAAAAATGTTATGATATAATCGTATATAGTTTACAAAATACTTCAATTTTAAATATATAATATGTTTAAATTCAAATTTCTGATTATAATTAATATCAATAACACATAATTATAATGATATAAAAAAAATAATTCTATAATGGTCATCTAAAATTATTAAGATAATTAAAAAATAAGATTACTTTTTATGAAAACACAACAAAAGTAGGAAAATTTAACTTAAATTTAAATTAAAACTAGAACTAAAAATAATTTTAAAAAATATTAGATTTTTTCTTTATCTATTTATGATTACATTATAAAAATTATATAATCATAGTATTTTGCAAATAATTTATTTTGTAATTTTAAATATTTAAATATACATATATACATATGAAAAATATAAATTAATTCAATAAATAATATACATCTCTATAAAGATAATTAATAATTCTTATACATATAACTATTAATATATCAACTATTATTTTTTTCAATAATTTTTTCTTTCTTATAATAAAAATTTTTAATTTCTCAAGCAAAACTATTAATGTAATATAAAAATAAGATAATTTATATTAGTTTATTATTTGAAATTATTTTAACATATTCATTTATATGTACGGATATTAGATTTGATATTAGATATACTTATAACATATTTTATATCTTATATCTTATTATTTGCAATTTGTTTATATAATTTGTATAATTTTTTATATTATATGTATTTAAACACATGGACGCACACGCCCACACACACACACATATATACATACATACGTACATACATGCATACATGCATACATGCACATATATATATATATATATATATATATATATATATATATATATATATACACATGTATACAAACGCGTGCGCGCATATATATATTATTTTTTATAAATATTTTTTGTATATTTATTAAACAAATAATATGATTATTACTTTTAATTATTTCTTCTAATCTTATATAGTATAGTATAGTATTATATCTAATCATATATAGTATTTAATTTTTTCACAATTTATTACTTTCAATATTTGTTAATTTTACTTTTACACAATTTCACAATTTTATGTTTCTATATCAAGTAAGATAATCATATGAGTATAATTTAATAAATGTATTTGTAAGACATATATTTTATTAGAAAACTTATTGTTGTGCAAAAAATCTACTAAGATTAGTAACTTATAATTTGTAGCTTAATCATTAATAATAATATTATTATTAATTAGAAATTAATTAATTATATAAAACAGTCCTGATCATAAATTTATAATTATATCATTTAAATTATAAATAAATTAATGGCATATATATGAATTATTGATAATAAACTAAAGATTTTTCAATATATATATGTGTGTGCTACACACACGCACGCACATACACACACACACGCGCGCACACACATACACACACACACACATTGTTTCTGGTTTGTATTATTACAATAATTTCTTTTATTATAATCAATTATTCATAGAATAATTCATATAAATTCATCAATCATCAAATAAAATATGGAGAGTTATATGCGCACATTATATCGTGAGGTAATTTATACGAGTGAAATGTCGTAAATACACATTGAGCACCAAAATGAAAATCATAGTTTCGATCGATATTACCGTTTCACCAATAAGCATATACATTATGAACTTTGTAACTTCTTTCAAAATAAAAAAGAATATAGTAACAAATTCAAATAAGTACATGTATCAAAATGTACAACTCACCAAATCTGTGCGTAATATAAGGTTAGATAACAAGTAGAAGGAGAACAAAATGAAGACGGAATTTGTACATTTCACGGATAATTGCTATACGCATATGTCTCATATATACACACATATACACACTTAATATAAAAATATTATATAAATATTGCAAAAAAAAATTTTAATCTCTCTTAACTCGTATACATATATATAAAACAATACATTAATAGATATTTCTAGTAATATAGGCGCCATATATTGTGCACAAGACATATAGTTCACGTAATGTATATGGTGTGTGTGGTGTGAATGTGATCTGTACGCGCGCGCGCGTCGCGTATATGGGTAATGCGCACTATATGTATGCGTATTTTACACGCGCGCGCATGCATTCAATACATATATGCACAATTATATACAAGTATATATATATATAATGGTAATATATACATGTACATTAATGTATATAATCTATATGCATATATATATATATATATATATATACATATATATGCGCATAAGGTCCATTTATCATTATACGTATTACTTATACGTAATATTGTAAATATATTCATACGTACATATATATGTAATTTGTATATGTGTATTCATGAAAGAACGTAAAATATAAACTATAAAGGATTAAGAACAAGAAAGAAATTAACTATCTTTTCTAAAATATTTGAAGGTATAAATGATAAAAATATAATTATATATATTGTTGATGAAAAAATAAAATTCAAGAACTTACTTTTTATATTGGGTGCCCGAAGAAGATTTCAGTCTAGTCGAAGATATTTCGTTGGCGCACGAAACGGGCAGAGCGAGTACCGCTCCGCTGGTAGGCTATTCCCGCGAGCGGCGCTACTCTCCCGGATTTGGAGAGCTCGGTGTTGCTGATGCGCGTACCGAGACCCGATTCATAGTTGTACATATGAAAAGACCCTTTCACATTTCAGAATGAACAGTAAACAGACTTTTAATATAAATAAATAAATAAAATAGTAATTGGTTTGAATAAATTACTTAAATTACATAACTTATTTTTATTATAATTGAATTTTATATTTAAGTAAAATTTAAATACATATTTAAAAAATAATTTTTTTAAGACAATTTTTGAAGATTAATAAAAATTAATAAAAAAAAATTGTTAAAAATTATACAATATTTTTCTATGTCAATATTTTTTATTATATAAAAAAATTATAACATTGCAGACATTTCATGTATTTTCTTTGTTTATATTTTATTAAATATTGATTAAATATTTTATAATATTTAAATCTTATATTTTAATCTCAATTTATATATATTAAAGTTAATGAAATTAAATATTTTTAAGAAATAATTTTTTTTTCTTTGAACTCTTACAATTGAAAAAATATTAATTTTTATGCAAAATTTATCGAATTTGTTTGTTAAATCTTTTAATTTTTCGATAAAATGAAAATTCCATCATTTAACAATTTTTATCTTTTTCCTAAAAATTTATGTTACTGATATTGAACTATTCATGTATAAAATAACTTTATTGTTAAATTTTTTAAATAATAAATAATAAATCACAGAAGAAAATTTGAAAAATTTATAGAAACAGAATAATTTTAAATTTTTTGAATTTAAAATTTTTTTTCTTAAAAAAATACATTTAACTATTCCAAGATCGTCAAAATTTTAATAAAATAATATATTTTCATTATTTTTGTAATATAATATAATATATGTATATTCAAAAATAAATTTAACAGTATATCATTCGTTGAAAAATAAGCAAATAATATAAATAATATTTATATATTCCATACAGAATACGATTATATAAATAAATATTATATATATCATATATATAAATAAAATTGAATAAAATAAAATGCATAAATATTCGTTTTAAATCAAAAATCAATTGAAACTATTATCAATGATTAATTATTATATCATATATTTTTGAATTTTTCGAATTTGCAATCAATTTATATTCAATAAATTTTAAAATAATAATAATATGTTTATTCTTATATAATTTTAATATTATAAATATGATAAAATTTGTTTTTTAGAAAAATAAGATTATATTTATACAATTATATTCATTTTATATTTCATATTATATGTATAATATATGTATAATATATATATAATATATAATAAAAATAATATATGTATAATAATATAATGAAAATAAATCATTTTATTCAAAAAAGAGTATTGATCTTGAAAATTCAAACATATGACTTTTAAATAAAATTTTAGATTATTTAGAAAGATTATTTCTTAAAACAAAATATGTAATTATATTTTTTGAAAACAAAATAATCTAGGTATTGAATATTCAATCTAATTTATACATACATATATATAAAATTGATAATTATTTATTAAATATTAAATAATATAAAAATTTCAAAATCAATATGTAATTTTGCTTTTAAATCATACATACATACATACATATATATATATATATATATATAT